CGAATGAATCACAATCGCGACCAGCAAAAATGAACTTTCGGGCGTTATCGGATTTGGTTTTCAAATATTTGATAACTTTCTCAAATTCCCGGGGCCTGGCAGTCACCCTGCTGAATCCCAAAGTCGGTGGCTTCATCTCAAAATCGGTGGATCGGTAGTTTGACTCAAAAGTCAGTGATCTACCGATTTTTTCTGTAGGGTTGGCAGGTATGCTAACTGATGCACCATAGACACCAATGAAGAGAAAATCAGGGATATTATATTTATTGTTAGTGATTGTGGTGAAACTGACACTTTTTTACAAATTTTTATACAATTTCCTGAAATTGCTCTTTACCTAAACTGTGACTAAACAGTAAACAAATAATAAGATGAATATATTTGGAATAATTTTCTTTAGTCAGAACACAACGTTTCATGTTACTGTTGTATGTTGTACTGTGTATTGTAAAGCGCTCAGAGCCTGTGTACTTTATTCGGGGTTGAGCGTTTTATATAAAATGTAATTTATTATTATTATTATTATTATTAAACAAAACAAAAAAATCCCTGGTATTTTGATTGAATCACTCCTGTTTCGCGGCTGCTACCCATGCCGGTTAGGGATATTTTTGTGTTTTATGCATGGTTTTTATCATTAGGTTAGGGGAGAGGTTCAAGTTCAACGAGGGTCTCCCCCAATAAAATATCCACTTGCGATGTTTTTTAATGCCAAAATTGTATTCAGGGCCCTAAAAAAACACAAAAAATCTACAAAACAACACACATTTATGAGACGGGTGTGATTCTACAAATTTACCCCCCCCCCCCCCATGCATCAAAAAACAACCCCAGTTGAAATGGTTACGAGTTTCAATTTTTCCTGTAGAAATAGAAGTGATCCTACATGATAAATAAACGATCAGCACTCAAACTAATGTCTGTTGCTGTCTTAGGGGACTAGACATCTAGATCTAGATCTAGATTCTAGATCCTAGATCTAGACTCTAGCAGTAACTTAGTCTTACGATAGTTGAGTGAGATTCTAGCCAGCAGACACTGGCCTAGACCTCGATCCTAGCCCCAGATGGGGTTGGATTCAAAGCTCAACCCTATCCTTTACGGCCGTCATGTACATGTTGAGATATGGCTCCTTAACTTGTAAACAAAAATGATCTGAACGTGAATACAAGAAGTAGGACGACGCAATAAAAGTCCGCCCTCATTAGCCTTCATCACATTCACAGACGTCTCAGTCTGTAGCCTAATTATTGTGAAGTGTACTCACCGACTGATCTGAATCCCATAAAAGCTATCTTTCGTTCTTTGGGAGGCATTGTGACAGTATAAGCAGTTGGTAGTAAAATAAGAGATGACTTCTTGTCTTTGATGTAGAAGTATTCGTCAAATACAAATCAGGACATCCACTGTTTGACGGAGAGTTGTCAAGTTTACGTCGCAGTCACTCAAACACCACAAACAAACATGGTCGAGTTCACCAGAAGGGAAGTCACTCGCACGCAAAGTTTTCCTGGTCGAATTTTGATTGGTTAAAAACCCTAAAGTTCGGGGTCATTCGTTGGAATCTTTGCCCTAGGCCAGGCCCGACTAGGTCCGATTTAGCCTTTAACTAAAGAAAAAGTCTCACAACGACCAACCTCTTTGCTCATAACTCACAACTCAATGTTGTCTTCGTCTCGTGCATGTGATGTGGGTTAAATAAAGCCTCTGTTTACAAAACTTCTTTCATTCTGGAAAAACGCAGTAGCCAAGAGTTTGGCGACTTTGAAAGTTTACACTTGCTCGGGATTTAGATATTGTCACACATAAGTTTCATAAAAACAAGATAAGCGTTGTCGCAACTTTTTTTTTATCAGAAAGATTTTGGGGACTTGGTTCGCTTAGCTCAGATGATAGATCTTTGTGCATGGGTATTTGGGGAGGTAATCGTGTTAATCGTATGTATGTGGCCGACGGGAGAGATTCGTTCGTAAACAAACAGGGAGGTTTTAAAACAAAAGAAAGGGGTTGTGTAGTATAAGAATGTATAGGTTGGGATGGAAAGGAAGAATGAAAGTCTTGTTAAAGACAAAAAAGCAGTGTGTGTGTGTGTGTGTGTGTGTGTGTGTGTGTGTGTGTGT